AAGTCATTTTCTCATTTGCAAAATGGGAAGGGGGCTGGGGGAAATAAACACCTCATAGAAAGGTAAGTAAGGTTACCAAGACTATAAGGTACAGTGCCAGACATACTACTGATCACTCCAATGTAAATATGACCACCTCATTTCACTCCACACTGCAAACTAGATGTACCTAAAATCATAGAAGTCCGCAAACTCCAAAGCAGCATCCCCGTCTGTGAAAAGCTTACAGTGGCTCTTGTCATTCATGTGTGCCTGGACAGCTTCCGTGGAATAGAAAGATTTCCCTTTCTCATTGCACCACAAGCAAATCTTCCCAACACCAACTTTCTCCCCTGCAAAAATAACGAGGAAAGAACCATTTGGTAGGCAGAATAACCCTCACCATTTCTCTCCACAATTCAAACAACATCCATCAAGATTTTCATTTCCACAAAGTAAGCAGGTGATTCAACCAATGGCTGACATGAAGCATAGAACTAAAGCAGAGAAAGAGAACCACCTTATTTCCTTAAATCTACCCCTCAATCATGTGGCTCTTCCACATTAAAAACTACTGTACTTACCCAAATATCTAATCAGTCCCTTAAGATCAGAAAGATATTCTATATCAGGAATAAAGAAGCTGTGGACTTTTGTCATGTGAGCCACATTCTTCATCAGGGAGTTTGAATGATGAGAACAAAATAAGCAGTCTGTTACAGGGATGGCACCCAGGGATGGGCATGCCCCAGCCCCTGCTTCCTCCGCATCCCGCTCCTCTGCACCTTCGTCCATCTCCTCAGCATCCTCACATTCCAGTTCTTCATCAGAATCCACATCTTCCCAATCTTCTAGTCAGAATTTTGAAAAACACAATCAGTTTAAGAGAAGTGGTAAATGCAATCAAAGATATCAACAAAGATTTACAAATACAAGGTGAAATAGTTCATACGCTTGAGGAGACAAATGCCAATTATGTCCACCAAGGACAAACCCTTTCTCAAGATGTGAATTTGAGCTATCCATGTCCCAAACACCAT